TTGCTTTGCCAGTTATTTTATTTTTTATATTTATTGAAATGTGCTTGTTTATTATAAGAATGGTTTTTCCAGTTTGTGTTATTATTTTTGTCATATGAATCCATTTTGTTTACTCTTACCAAAGCTTAGGTCTGTGGCAGAAACACATGCCACTGCATCATCTGGCAAATGCTCTTGTGTTTTTAACTGAGGAACTGATGCGGAAATGGGGAGCCTGGCTTGCCTTAAGCCACTCAGTGTGTGAGTTATCCATTCCAGCACACGGGATCTGGACTATTAATGCCATCCCACAGCCCAGCTCTGTTAGGTGTGGGGTCCCTTACTTCCAAAGCACACACACACACAAATCAGAGCCAAAATAAAGTCAACACCTTTTATTATCAATCACATATTTCACTTTCAAAATAATGTAGCAAACGGTTTAGGGTAGTATATAAAACAACAGCCAGTTTTGCATATGTCCTTCTATCTCCATCTGGGATCAGGACATCCTAGCATCGGGCACAGCAGTGGCACTTATCTGATGCCCCTTTGCAGATACAGCCCTGGGCACACTTGGCACAGCCCATGGGACAGCAGGAGCAGCAGCTTGTGGAGAAAGGGGAGAGTTGGAGGTCAGAGCAGACTTGACAAGGCACCTCCCTGCCTGACAGAGGCCCAGCAAGGCCCCCGAGGACCCTGAGTTAAGGAGGGTACAGCTCTGTCAGGAGATAATTGAGGGGCCTTTGGGGTGAGGGTCTTGCTGGGGAAAAGCGGTCTACCCTTTTGGGGTTCAGGAAAGAGGAGAAGACTACAAGAAAGTCTTCTTTCCGCAGGAGTGAAAAACAGAGGCTCTGGAACAAAGGAACCATACACTGAAGTGAGGAATGTCCTCATCTGTCAGGGCTGTGGCATGTCAGTGGACTCTCTTTGCCAATTTCTCCAATTTAAAAATGAACTTTAGAATCAACCATCTCTAAATTTCTTCAGCCTCTGCTTCTACCAGGTGCCGAGAGAAGAGGATGTGGGAAGCTGGTCTGGCCTGTTCCTGCCTGCTGAGCTCTGTGCTCCCTCCTCTGACTCAGCCCCAGACCCAGGGAAGGCCCCCACTCACTCTTCTTTCAGGACATGCATCTGTTCTCTTTGCACTTGCAGGAGCCAGGGCAGGTGCAGGAACAACCTGCAAGGAAGAGAAAGCCAGAGGTAATCACTCAGGGAGATGCAGACAGGGCAAGAGTCAGTCAACAAACGCTCCCACCCGAGTGCCAGAACAGACCTGGTAGCTCTGTTTGCCTCAGGGGACAGTGAGGTCTATTCCCACCTCCCTCTTCAGGCTAGGATGGTTTCTGTCCTGAATCCTGAAAAGGCCATGTCCCCTGTCTCCCATGCAGCCCAGGCAACTCAAATGCTGAGCAGAGCACTGGAACTGCACCTAGCAGCCCTGGACTACCTAGGTGACTTGGAGCAGGAGAGTCATATGCCTGAGGGCTCTTGTTATGACATGATAGACGAGAGGAGAATGCAAAAGTTCTAGGGTGATGGAAGCACTTGGCAACAGGAAAGCACTAGAACCATGCACTAAAGGCTTCACTTTGGCCAGAATGCAAAACGACGCCTTCACTCCTAAGAACATCTGTCCAGTGGCCAGAAGATGAGGATCTCACGGCCCAGAAACCGAGCGTCCCTTACCAGGGACGCAGGAGCAGTTGGGGTCCATGTCGAGCCCAGGCGAGACTAGATTTCCAGGTGACAGGGAAGAGGCAGAAAGCAAGTGGGAAGTTGGTGGATCCTATGAGGCAGCTGCTCCCTTTATAGTAAGGGAAGAGCAGTGCCAGAGGACCCGCCCTGGCCTTTGCACCCACACTATGGAGTAGGCGCCACCAAGTTCTCTCTGGCCAGGCTGGACACAACAGGCGGGCCGGGCTCAGGGTCTCTGAGCACTGCTGCTTGGTGCACACCACTAGAGCGATCTTTGGCTGCGCTGTGGGTGTTTTGGGGGTGGGGCTGAGCTGTGTGCCTGTGGTTTTTGGCGACTCCGAGTCCTTCTGGGACTATTGGCTCCCCCCTCCCCTCCCATCCTCAACTTGCCGTTCTCAGGTGCCGTGTGCAAGCCCAACTCATGTTCAGTACCCTGCAGGAGCCGGGGAGCAGAGGAGGTAGGGAGTTGGTGAAAGAAATCGAGGTGGGGGGATGGGAGGGGAGGATGTGGCCTTTGGAGTCCAGCATTTCCTGTAGCTGCCCCCACCGCAGTCCGTCGCCCACATTTCCCCTTGACACAGCAATGTGCCAGACACAGGGTTCTGCCTTGCTTCCTTTCACTCTCACTCCTGGGCGGATGTGTCGGCAGGCCTGTCCTGGTCCTACTTTCCTAAAACCCACTAGATCTCCCCCAGCAGAGCTGGCCCAACCACTCCCGAACAGTAGTGCTGCAATGTGGGGTGCCTCAGAAGTGGGGTTCCTTAGGTGACATGCAGACCCTGCTTTAAATAAGTCAGCAAACTGGGTGTAGTAGCCAAAACCTGTAGTCACAGCTACTCTCGAGGCTGAGGCTGGAGGATCATTTGAGCCCAGAAGTTGAGGTCCAGCATGGTTAATAGAGTAAAAGAACATCTGGAAATAATAATAAAATTGAAAACCAAGACTGACTACCGCATAACATTCAGTCCATGCCACTCCTTTTTAAATCTCATTCATTCTATGAATCTCCCAACAGTCCTAGAGGGAAATACTATTTATGAACCCGTTTTACTCATGGAAGAAATAAAACAGAGAGTTCAAGTTCCATGCTCCTCGTCACAGGGCTAAAAAGTTGTCACTGATGTGAATTTAGTCAGCAACTCAAGGGAAAAAAGCATCCATGATAAAGCGTTCCTGGGGTCCAAGCATGTATTCAAAAATTCCCTATTGCTGGAGGTCTTTTAAATAGCCAATCACCAGCTCTGCCATGGCCAGTGACAAAAGCAATCCATAGTATAACATACAGACACACACATATATAATATCCTGGCTATCTTCTATGGACAGAATAAAGCTGATATTCATTTTGGATTGTGATAAAGAATTGCTTTTCATAAAAACACATTTAAGAAAATATTACTCATCTCCATGTAAAATATTAAATAAAACATTATGCAGGTGGTAGCAGAAATGGCAATCATTCCTCTGTATCTGACATGAAGCACAGAATCTTTCTCACAGCTTTATAACCCAAGCGTTGATGGCAGTTTTGTGGGAAGAGTGACTGTCTTTGGACTACAGGTCCTGCATTTTTTTGGTAGATGGTAGGACAGGACACACAGCTAAGGCCCCAGGCCTGGCTGCTCTGTCTGTGTTTAAGTAAATATCCCCTATGCTTTGTAAAATGATGGTTTAAAAAAAGGATAACTTATATCATAGGCCACTCTTCCTAGCCAGGCATCTTTCTAAGTTCCTTCTGTGTATTAACTCATTTAATCCCACAATCCAGTGACCATTATTATGCTCCTTGTACAGTTGAGGAGACGGAGCCACAAAAGGTTGTATGGCACAGTTAAAAGTGACAGGGTGGGATTTGTGCCCCTGCATGCTGACTGCAGCATCATGTCCTCACCCCCCACCATGTGCCCCCAAGTCACATGGAAGGTGAGGACGCTGAAAATCTGGCATGGAGGCAGCAGTGGGAAGAGCACTGAGTTGGCAGTCAGACCCCTTTGCATGTAGCTCGATGACCTTTCAGGGTGTCAGTTGCCATCTCTCAAGTCAAGAGGGAGGTCCATATCACAGGGCCTTTGTACCTGTGAAGTGAGATAGCAGGGTTTAGCATCTAGGGATGTAATGATCAGCAGCTGTGGCCAGGACCATGGGCCAAACAGTATAGGTGTATTTATCCCTTTACTTCTGTGTTGTGTGACATTGGGCAGGTTGTTTAACTGCTCTGGAAAACAACAAGGCACTTCAGCCCATGCATATGTGATGTCCCAGTCACGAGGTGTGTGGCTGTCATTGTTGAGACTGTGTGTATTTCAAGTGACATGAAGCATGAGAGAGTGTTTCACATGTGTCCCAATGCTGGGTAGTGTGTCACTGAAGAGTACTTTCTACAGGAGGACATCCACACTCCTTCTGGCACTGGACCAGCCTGGCATCAATCTCATTCCCAGCATCCAATCCAGAGTAATGCTTTCCAACCTGTGAGCGTTTCTCCAGGAACTAGTTGGGGCTTACCAAGATTCTGTCTCTAAGAAGTTCATATATCTGGACATGGTGGTTCATGCCTCTAATCTTAGCACTTTTGGAAGCCAAAGTGAGAGGATTCCTTAAGTCCAGGATTTCAAAAAATATAGCCTGGGCAACATAGCGAGACCTCTATATGTGTCTAGAACTTTTTCCAGTTGAATCTAAAAATAGGCTTTGTGATTAGAGTTTGATTTCATGATCTCCATAATTAATACTTTATTAACCAAAGTTTAGGTCTGCAACAAATAATAAAAGCTGTCCCTTCACGTGGAGTTTAAGAAGACCCATGGACAATTGAGGCAACTGAGGAGGGGGCTTCCAACTCCTATAATCACTTTGAAGTCTAAAATCACATGAGGAACTGAGGTTGTACAGGGAATCAGACAATAATAGTGAGGGATGAAGAAGTTTCTGTGCCACCATTGACGTGATAATGTGACCGTCCTGTGTGGTTCCCTCTTCCCTCAAATGATTTGTCACAATGCAATGCCAGTGTAACACCAGAGGGAGCTCAGGGAGGCACTCTGGCTTGGCTGAGGGCACTCAGGTTGTCAGGGGCTCACATTCAATCCAGAGCCTTGGACTCTCACACCAAGTTCAATCCCTACCACTGCCTAAATGGGTCCCGAGTCCCATATTTCCAAAGCACAAAGGAAATCAGGGTCAGAAGAAAATCAATAATTTTCATTATCATTCACATATTTTATAGGAAATAAATGTAGCAAAAGGGTCAGGGTTCTATAAAAAAAAAAATCCATGTTTATACACGTTGCTCCACGTCCACCTGGGATCAGGATCTCCCGACATCAGGCACAGAAGCTGTACTTGTCCAATGACTCTTTGCAGACACAGCCCTGGGCACACTTGGCACAGCCCACGGGGCAGCAGGAGCAGGAACCTGGGAAGAAAGGAGAGAGTGGGAGGTCAGAGTAGACGTGAACAGGCACCTCTCTGCCCAGCAGAGGACTGGCACAAGCCCTGGACTGAACTGAGTTCAGAAGGGCATGGGTCTAACTGAGATACTTGGAGGAACTCTTGGGGGATATGTCCCAATAGCAAGAGGCTACCCAGTCACAGCTGAGCTCAGGGCAGAAAACCTGGAGAAGGAATGGTCAACAGGGGCAAAGAAAGGCCTTTCCCAGAAGCACAGACTCAGAACCAGCTCTGAATCTCTCCCAACCGCAGGCCCGAAGTTCCCAGGGAAGGCCCCCACTCACTCTTCTTGCAAGACATACATTTGCACTCTCTGGACTTGTAGGAGTCAGCACAGGCACAGGTGTCACCTGAAAGGAAGAGAAGACCAGAAGTGAGTACAAAGGGGTTTGCAGACAGAGTAGCAGTTGGTTAGTGAGTCTCCAGTGCCCCCTCCTCTGTGAGGGCAAGTCCCAGAGCTCCTGTCCCCTTCAGGGGCAGAGGAAGCCCCATGCCCTCTCTCCTTGTGCTGGGAAAGGCAAGTGCTGTCCTGCTTTACACCACCAGGAGGGTTCCAGACTCCAGACACAGCACAGGAGGAAGGGGCCATGTGGCAGGATCTCCTATCCTAAACAGAAGAGGCAATGTCCCCTGTCTCCCAGGAGTCTTGGCTGCTGAGAGTCTGGAAAGGGTACTGGGGTCTGACAGGAGCTCCCTGAAAAAGTGGGTGACATTAAGCAGGACAGCCTTGAGCCTCAGAACCCTCAACTCTGTCACAGAGGCCTAGGGAGAAGGGAAATGCTCCCAGGGCTTGGCCAGAAATCCAGCCCTGGATGAAATAAAGGAGGCCCGAACTCAAAACACGTCTCCTGAAACCCAGGGACACGCCTCTGTGTCAGGGAAACGGGAATCCCAAGGCGCAGAGCCGGGCTTTTCTTACCAGCAGCGCAGGAACAGTTGGGGTCCATGTCGAGCCCAGGCGAGGCTGCAGTTCCAGGAGAGAGGGAAGAGGCAGCTGACAGGTGTGAAGCTGGTGTAGTCCAGGAAGTCACAGCTCACTTTACAGTCAGGGGAGGGAGCCAGGCACAGAGGCTCCACCCAGGTCTTTGCACCGGCCCCTCCAAGTATGGTGCCAGGCTATACCCAGCCAGTGTGCCCAGGACAGGATCTCTGAAGGCCCCTTGGTTCACTGAGGGGGACACCCATTTTGGCTATGCTCGGGGAGAGGGGGGACAGGGCTGTGCTTCTGATGGTTCCCAGTTTCCATGCCTGTCTCTCCTGCACTTGGGGTTCCTGGAACCAACTCCTGGCTCCATGTGGGAATGTCCTGGCCTGTGCTGCTCAAGGTGTGTGTCCACAATGGGGCCAGTCTGCTGTTTCCAGTCTGCCATCCAAATGAGTCATGAACATATGAACAAAGATCTCAAAACTTCAATTCCCAGCTAGTTATCTTATATTTGTAGAACTTTTCTGGTTAAATGTAACAACTGGCTTATCATTTGTTCTATGATATCATGATCTCTGTCATTAATGTTATTGTATGTACCAAAGTCTAGATCTGGAATAAATAGAAAATAGGATTATTCCTCCACCGTGGAGTCTGAGAAGCCCCTTGTAGGATTCAAGGAACTAAAAAGTTGGATTTCACCTCTTGTTGGCACTTTGAAGCCTAAAATTTGTTGGTAACTGAACCTGGGCCGGGAAATCAGATAATGCAAATGAGGGATGGACGAGTATCTGTGCCACATTTGCCAGGAGACGGAGGGTGTCCTCGATGTCCCTCCCTGCCCCCAGTGTTCTAGAACACTGCTCTTCCAATTTGCAGAAGGTGAAGCTCAGTGAGCAGCCTGACTTCCTGAGGGCATTCAGGTTGTCAGGGTGAACATTTCCATAAAAGCCCAGGTATCTGCACTCCCAGTCCAATCACCCACCCCAGTCCCTCAATTTTAGACATACAAATGAAACCAGAGTCAGAATCAAGTCAATGTTTATCATTATTCACTTTTTTCATGGAACAGGGAATGTAGTGAATGGGTCAGAGTTGCATGCAAAAAAAAAAAATTCCAGGTTTATACATGTTGCTCCATGTCTACCTGGGATCAGGGTCTCCCAGCATCAGGAGCAACAGCTGCACTTTTCCAGTACCTCTTGGTAGACACAGCCACAGGCATACTTAGCACTGCCCATGGGCAGCAGAAACAACAGTCTGGGAAGAAAGGGAAGAGTGGGGGGTCAGAACACATTTTACCAGGCACCTCCCTGCCCCACATGGGCCTGGCACAAGCCCTGCCCCCAGTCCCAAGGACACTTGAGTTCAAGATGGCACAACTCTGTCAGGAGACAACAGGTGGAATTTACGTTGAGAGTCTTTCTGCAAAAAACTGGCCAAGGCTCACCTGAGCCCAGGACAGGGAAGATTGAGAGGCAGAAGAAGACCTACAGAAACATAGGAACCTAGAACTGTTCCCTATCTGTTTCCCAGAGCACAGACTCAGACCAGTTCCGGATCTCTGCCAACTCAGCCTGGTGCCAGGCTCCCATGGAAGGCCCCCATTCACTCTTCCTGCAGGACATGCATCTGCACACTTTGCACGTGTAGGAGCCAGAGCAGGCGCTGGAGACACCTATAAGGAAGAGAACAGTGAGCATTAAGGGTCATGTAGATGTTGGGTACAGTCCTTCATGTGCTCCCTGCTCCATGCACTGAGGAAACCTGGTGACTCTTGTTTCTCTCAGGCAAAAGGAAGTCTAACCACTCTTCAGGCTAGGTTGGGCAGGTGCCATCCTGATTGTATTCCACAGGGCTTTATATCAAGAATCCAGAAGATTCCATGTCCCTGCCTGCCAACAGCCGAAATGCTAGACAGAGCACTGGGGACCTGCCCAACTGGGAGACTTTTTGAGCCTCTGTCCTATAGCCTAAGAAATGGAAGGAACTGGGAAGATGGGTATGTTCTAAGTGATGATGAAAGTGCTTGGCTAGGAAGAAAGCATAAGAAATCCAAGGAAAACACACCACTAGATTCTGAACTTTAAATGAGCCCTCCACCAGCAGCATAGATATTCTATCCTCTGGCAAGAAATTGGAGACACTAAGCCCAGAAATTCAGCATCCTTTACCAGAGGCACATGAGCCGTTGGGGCCCATGAGGACCCCAGGTAAGGCTGAAGTTCCAGGTGAGAGGGAGGAGGCAGAGGGGCATGTGGGAAGCTGGTGGAGTCCAGGAGGTGGCCACTCCCTTTTTAGTCAGTAGAGGGGGCAAAGCACAGAGGCCCTTCCCTAGCCCTTGCCCCTGCCCTGCCAAGTCTGAGCAACTCAATGTCCTAGCCTGGGCTGTGCTCAGCGGACAGGCAAGTCAAATCAAGGGTCTCCCTCACCCGGCCCCCACATGCATCTCGGTGTGCTGCACTGGCACCAACCTTTTGGCTGCTGTCACAAGTGAAGGCCTGAGGGCCTGTGGCCAGATGGCAGGTGGACTCCATGCTTGTCTTGGGGTCCTCTCTACAGACTGCATCTATTCTCCTCCCTGGGCATTCAGAGAACTCAGAGCCAGGTGATCTGGTAATCCCCAACCGCAGGCCTGCACCTTTGTCCTCACCTTCCTGCTTCTCAGGGTCTGTGTGCAACCTCAGCGTCATGCTCATGTTCCTTGATAGATCCCAGACATGGAGTGCAGCAAGGGAGTTGTGTGAGGAGAACAGGCTGTTGCTGTGACCTTTGCCTTATATCCATGGCCTGTCCCTGTCCCCACCTAGGGCCTTTGGCCATGTTTCTCCCACCCAGCCACAAGGCAGACACATGGCTCTGCCTTCCTCTCTTCCAGTCTCCTCTCCTGAGAGGTTTTCTGCACATATGTTTAGTCATCTTTTGCTTTAATTTCCTTGGGACTTCCCACAGCCTAGCTGCCCCACCAGGCTATAGGTGGGAAGTTCCCAAAGCTTTGGATGCCCCCAAAGGAGGGATCATTGTCCCTGATGTTCCTGACTGAAAAACTGCACACAGACCCTGCCAGACCTTAATCACTGTGACTATTTGACCCCTCAAAACATTGTAAATGGGATGATCTTTATGAACCCGTGTTACTAATCAGACAACCACTACACAAGGAGTATGTGTGACTAGTCCAGGACCAGAGGGCTTGTACGTGGTCCTGCTGGATCTGAATCCAGTCAGCTTTGAAGGAAAAGAGATCAGTGAAGAAGGTGGAGGATCCTTGGGTCTAAATGGTATGTCTTCGGCAGCTCTTAATTGTTTGAAACCTTTACACTAAAACAAACATCAGGGTCAATCCTGGGAGCAAAAAAGTGATGCAAAAGAAAAATGTTCAATTTTATGGCAACCATGTATGTCATATTGTCAGTGGTGGTAATGACTTGTAGAGGAAGAAAGCTTTTTCTCTGTGCAAATGCTGGCTCAGTGTCTTATCTTATCCTGTAGTGTTCTGTGCAAGAGGCCATTCATGTGCCCATGAGACCAGAGCCACAAAATTCCAGACTTCAAATCCACAGTAATGCCTCTATGCAGATGGGCCTTTCCCAAGGTGGTTAATGGGAGCTAACAGAATTCTCTCCCCAGAAAGTTCATGTGGACCACACAAGCATAATGCCACTGTTTATTATGTCTGCCCAATTGCCAGGCCACTGCCACATGTAATGCCTACATAGAGATGTAAGCTCCTTTCTACAAAGGTGGAAACAAGACTCATGGAGGTTCAGCCACTGGCCCAGGCCACATGGTCATTAGGTGGTGAACTGGGCTGTGCTCTGGGACTGCCTGACACCAAAACCCATTCCCTTGACTCAGGCTGCCTTCCACAACTCTCTCTTCACACAGGCCACTGGTAGGCAAGGATGGTCCTGACTCTTAGGTTCCCACTACTCCTTCTTATTGAAGAAGAAACAGAAATATCTTTAACAAATAGCCAGAGAGACTGAAATTTTGCCATTAATCGCATATCACTCGGGACCTCATCCTTTTAGCAAATACAACATCTTAGGTTTAAATATATGTGTTCACGCCTCCATAGGCAGATGCAAATACTTCATCTGGAAACCTGGATACGTATCTATCCTCCATCTTGGCTTGTTAATGCTGGGCACTTCCACTCCACTCCTCACTCCTCTGCTTGAAGGAACTAAGGAGTAGAATTTGAAAGAGGAGCTGAATTGAGCTGGACCTTTGGAGAAACTTCCAAGGATTTAGTGTACAGTGATAACCATGAGCTCTCAGGTGTAGAAGAGTCCCATTAGTGACACTGGACAGACCCAGACTGAGGGTGTCCATGGGGATGGCCTGACCAGCACAGCTGAAGGTGTGTGATCCCCACACCAGGCCAGCTGGGAAATGTTTCCAGTCTGATACGTATACCCTAAAAAATGGTTAATGTTTGTAATTATTTTGCCTTGCCAGCTATTTTCTTTTTTTATTCATTGAATTGTGTCTGTTTATTATAAAAATGGTTTTCTATTTTGTGTTATTATTTTTGTCATTTGAATGCATATTATTTTATCTTATCAAAATTTAGGTCTGTGACAAACACATGCTACTACATCATCTGACAAATGCTTTTGTGTTTCTAGCTGAGGAACTGATGCTGAAATGGGGAACCTGGCTTGCCTTAAGGCACTCAGTGTGTCACTTGATCGGACATTGTCCCAGGACACAGGGATCTGGACTGTTAATGCCATCCCTCAGCCAAGTTCTGTTGGGTATGAAGTTCTTATTTCCTGGGCATAAAAAGAAATCAGAAGGACGGGCGTGGTGGTTCATGCCGATAATCCCAGCACTTTGGGAGGCCGAGGTGAGAGGATTGCCTGAATCCGTGGGTTCTAGACCAGCCTGGGCAATGTGGCAGGACCTCATCTCTACAATAAGTAAAAAAATTGCCAAGCAGGGTGGCACGTGCCTGTAGTTCCAGCTACTTGTAAGGCTGAGGTGGAAGGATCGCCTGAGCCCAGTGGGTGGAGCCTGCAGTGGCTGGGAGCGTGCCACTGCCCTTCAGCCTGGGTGATAGAGCAAGAATCCAACTCAAAAAAGAAAGAAATCAGAGCCAGAATAAAGTCAATAACATTTATTGTCAGTCACACATTTCATTAGGGGAAAAAAATGCAGCAAATGGAATAGGATAGGATAAAAAAAACCACAACCACCAAGTTTATACGTGTCCTTCTATCTCCATCTGGAATCAGGCCCTCCCAACATCAGGCATAGCAGCTGCACTTGGCTGATGCCTCTTTGCATACACAGCCCTGGGCACACTTGGCACAGTCCACGGGGCAGCAGGAGCAGCAGCCTAGAAAGGAGATAGAGCCGTCAGAGCTGACTTGACCAGGTACCTCCCTGACCTCTAGCTTTGCACAAACCCTGCTCTCAGCCCTAGGGCCTCATCCTTCTAGCAAACACAGCAACGCCTTAGGTTTAAATATACGTGTTCATGCCTCCATAGGCAGATGCAAGCCCCAGAGAACCTTGAATTCTGGAGGGTACAGCTCGGTCAAGAGACAATTGGGGGATCTTTGGGGTAAGGGTCTCCCTTGGAAAAAACTGTCTAGCCACTTCACAGTCCAGGAAAGAACAGAGACCAAAAAGGAAGGCTTCATCCTGCTGGAGTGGAAGACAAGACCTCTGGGACACAGAAAGACCAGCTCCCAGAACCACCAAGAATGTCCTCAGGTGGGCTCTCCCCCACCCCCCAACAGTTTCCCCATTTTAAGAATGAACTTTGGGAATCAACTGTCACTGAATTTCTTCAGGCTCTGACCCAGAACCTGATGCTGAGGGGAGGGGATGCGAGAAGCTGGTTGGCTCCGGGACCCCTCCTCAGACTCAAACAAAGAATACCAAGGAAGGTCCCCACTCACTCTTCTTGCAGGACGTGCATCTGCACTCTTTGCACTTGCAGGAGTCAGCACAGGCACAGGAGCCACCTGCAAGGAAGAGAAGGATGGGGTGAGCACTGGGGGAGATGCAGACAGGGCAGCAGTCGGTCAACAAATGCTCCCAGCTGAGTGCCAGGACAGACCTTGCAGCACAGTGAGGTCTACCCTCACCACCCACTTCAGGCTAGGATGGTTTCTTGTCCTAAATCCTGAAAAGACCATGTACCCGGTCTCCCATGCAGCCCAGGCAACCCAAATACTAGACAGAGGATTGGGATTGCACCTAGCTGCCCCGGACTACCTAGGTGACATGGAGCAGGACAGTCCTACGCCTGAGGGCTCTCGTCTATGATATGATAGAGAATGGAAAAGTTCTAGGGTGATGAAGGCACTTGATGACAGGAAAGCACTAGAACTATGCACTAAAGGCTTTAGGTTGACCTGAACACAAAATGACAACACCACTCCTATGACATCTGTCCAGTGGGCTCATGATGGAGATGCCAAGGCCCAGAAACCCAGCGTCCCTTACCAGCGTTGCAGGAGCAGTTGGGATCCATGTCGATCCAGGCAAGGCTGGAGTTGCAGGAGAGAGGGAAGAGGCAGCGGAGCACGTGGAAGGTTTGTGGAGCCCAGGAGGCAGCTGCTTCCTTTATAGTCAGGGGAGGGGGCCGGGCGCAGAGGCCAAGCCCGGTTATTTGCACCCGCCCTGACGAGGGTCCAGGGCGGTTCTGTGTGCAGCGGGCGGGCCGGGCGCAGTACTTCTGAGCACAACTGGCTCGCACCGCGGGCGGTGGCTGGAGGGAGAGGAGGGCGGGGCTGTACACGGCGTGCCCGAGGTTGTCGCCACCCCCGCCCTGGGTGTTCCAGGAACCCCAGATCCTGCCGTCTTCGCACCACACCCCCACGCCGCTGTCCTGCGGCAGCTCCTTTCCGGGGTGCCATGTGCAACCCCAACTCAAGCTCAGCCCGGTCCGGGGTCGGGGGTCGGCGGGAGCGGGAAGCAGAGGAAGTTGTGTGCACAGGTGGGGAGGATGTGTCCTTCAGAGTCCCCTAGCCCAGCCGGCCCACCCACTCCAGGTCGGCAGTGCTGCAATGTGAGGTGTCCCAGAAGAGGGGTCCCTTGGGTGACATGCAGACCCTGCCGTAAATAAGAGAGCAGCTGGGTGCAGTAGCCCACACCTGTAGTCACAGCTGCTCTAGAGGCTGAAAGGGGAGGATCGCTTGAGCCCAGGAATTGAAGTCCAGCTTGGATAATATACTGAAACAACATCGGGAAAGAAAAAAGAAAAATAAAAACCAAGACTGACCGTCACATAACAGTTCTGGAAAGTCCCTTTTTAATAACACTTGTTCTCTGAAACTCCCAACAATCCTAGAGGGAAATACTATTTAAAACCCATTTTACTCATGGAAGGACTACAAGGAGAGATCAAGTACCGGGCTCCTGGTCACAGAGTTAAAAATTTGTCACTGATGTGAATTCAGTAAACTTCTCTAGGGAAAGAAGTAAACCACTCCTGGGGCCCAAGAATGTCTTCAACAATTCCCTATTGCTGGACGTCTTTTAAACAATAGGTCACCAGTTCTGCCAAGACCAGTGACAAAAGCAATCCATGAGTGTAACATACAGACACACACATATATAATACTCTGGCTATCTTCTATGGACAGAATAAAGCTGATAATCATTTTGGATTGTGATAAAGAATTGCTTTTCAGAAAAATACATATAAGAAAATATTACTCATCTCCATGTAAAATACAGAGTAAAACATTATGGTGGTAGCAGAAATGGCAGTCATTCCTCTGTATCTAACATGAGGCACAGAATCTTTCTCATAGATTTATAACCCAAGTGTTGATGGCAGTTTTGTGGGAAGAGTGACTGGCTGTCTGTGAACCACAGGTCTCACATTCTTCTGCCAGATGAGAGGACAGGACATACGGCTAAGCACACCAGGGCTGGCTGCACTGTTTGCGTGTAAGTAAGTATCCCCTATGCTTTGTAAAATGATGTTTTAAAAAAGCAATAGCTTATATCATAGGCCACTCTCCCTTGCCAGGTATCTTAAGTTCCTTCCGTGTATTACCTCATTTAATCCCACAAGCCAGTGGCAATTATTATGCTCCTTGTATAGTTGAGAAGACGGAGTCACTAAAGGTTGTGTTGAGCAGCTAAAAGTGACAGAAGTGGAATTTGCACCCACGCATGTTGACTGCAGCATCACGTCCTCACCCACCACCCTGTGCCCCTAAGTCACATGGAAGGTGAGGATGCTGAAAATCTGGCACAGAGGCAGCAGTGGGAAGGGCACTGCTTTGGCCGTTAGACACTTTTGCATGTGGCTCAGTGACCTTTCTGGGAGTCAGTTGCCATCTCTCAAGTCAAGAACGAAATTGGTCCATTCCAAAGGGCCTTTATGCCTTTGAACTGGGACAGGCATGGCTTAGCATCCAGGGATGAAATGATCTTCCAGTTGAGGTTAGGGGGACAGGCCAGATGTAGTATAGGTTGATTCATCCCTTTACTTCTGTGCTCTGTGACTTGGGCAGGAGGTTTAGCTGCACTGGAAGATAACACAAGTACTTCAGCCATGCATATTGGATATCCAGGTCATGAGACCTGTGGCTGTCATTCATGAGACTGTGAGAAGATCAAATGGCATGAAGTGGGGGGGGGGCTTTCATATGCATTCAAATGCTGGGCAGTGTGTCACTGAAAGTCACTGAAGAGGACTTTCTGCAGGAGGACATCCACACTTCTCCTGGCACTGGGTCAGCGTGGCTGCGATCTCATTCCCAACACCAGTCCAGAGCAATGCTTCCAAACCTATGAGCCTTTCTCCAGGAACTTGCTGACACTTACCAAGATTTTCTCTCTAAGAAGTTCATCTAACCGAGTTGGTGACTCAGGCCTATAATTTCAGTCATTTGGGTAGCCAAGGTGAAAGGATTGCTTGAGCCCAGGATTTAGAGAAGAATCTGGGCAACATAGTGAGAACCATCTTTACTACTAATAAAAAAATGACCTGGTTGTGGTAGTATACACTTATAGTCCCAGCTACTTGGGAGGCTGAGATGGAAGGACTGAATGAACCTAGAGGTCAAGGTGGCTGTGAGCCATGATTGTGCCACTATACTCCAGTCTGGACAAGAGTGAGACTCAGACTAAAAAAAAAAAGTTTACATAGACAAAGTCATCATGATGGTGTTTGTTTATTAAGGCTCAGCCAGGAGCCAGGCCATGGTCTAATTTAATCCATACATAGACATACTGTATTCTCTGTACAAATGAGGAGATAGAGACCCAGAGAGCTGAGCAACTTTCCTGGGCCACAGTCAGTAAGTTGGGAAGTGGGTACTGAACTAAATACTGCCCAACACCAAAACCCCTGCACCTGACACAGGCAGTCTTCGCACTTATAGTTCTCCCCCCATGGACTTCTAGGCCACGAGGCTCCTCTTCCTCTTTGAAACATCAAACAACATTTCCCCAACAAACAGGTGGCATCGATGAGACCCAAGGCCTCACTTCTTTTTAAATAAAGCACACCCACACCCACCAAACTGCAGGCACCACCATCACCCCTGCACTCACAGACTTAAAATACTTCACCTGGATCCCATGACTACGTACATTTCATCTTGCTGGGAAAATACTATAATCGCGTTGAAGCATAAATTCCATGAGAAACTGAAGATGGGCAGGAAAATCAGAGCATGATAATGAGGGTTGAAGTTTCTGTGCCATATTTGATTAGAAAATGTGGCCATCCTGTGCGTCTGTCCCTTCCCTCATATGATGTGTCACGATGTGATGCCGTTGTACACCAGAGGAAACTCAGGGAGGCAGCCTGGCTTGCCCAGGGCACTCAGGTTTTCAGGGACTCACATTCCATCCAGAGTCCCAGACTCACACCCAGTTCAATCCCTACCCCTGTCATAAGGGACCCAAGTCCCATATTTGCAAGGCAAAAAGGAAAAGAGTCAGAATAAATTCAATAACTTTTATTATGATTCATGTGTTTCATTTTTTTTTAATGTAGCAAAGGGTCAGGAATGTATGAGAAAAATATCTAGGTTTATACGCATGGCTCCACCTCCATCTGGGATCAGGGTCTCCCGACCTCAGGCGCAGCAGCTGCACTTGTCCGATGTCTCTTTGCAGACGCAGCCCTGGGCACACTTGGCACAGCCCACAGGGCAGCAGGGGCAACAGCCTGGGAAGAAAGGAGAGTGCGGGAGGTCAGAGCAGACTAGCCAGGTGCCTCCCTGCTCATCGGAGGTGTGGCACAAGCCCCGGAGGACTGATGGTTCTAGGGGACACGGCTCTGTTCTGAGACAATAGGTGAAGCCTTGGAAGTTGTGTCCCAATAGCAAGACGCTGCCCTGCCTCTGCTGAGCTCTGGACAGAAAGACTGGAAGGGAATGGCGTGGCCAACAGGGACCGAGGAAGGCCAGTTCCCAGAAGCACACGCTCAGGACCTGTTGCTCCTCCCAACTTCATCCTAGCCCTGGATTCCCAAAGGAGGTCCCCACTCACTTTTCTTACAGGACTTGCATTTGCACTCTTTGCACTTGCAGGAGCCAGCACAGGTGCAGGAGTCACCTGCAAGGAAGAGAAGGTCAGAGGTGAGCACAGAGAGACACAGCTGGGGGAGCGTTTGGTCAGTGAGTCTCCAGTGCCCCCTAATCTGTGAGGGCCAGCCCCCGCTTAGGGCATAAGAAGCCCCATCCCCTCTTCCCTCCTGCTTTAGCCCAGCAGGAAGCTCCCAGGCTGCAGACACTGCCCAGCAAGACCAGGACCTCCTGTCCTCAAGCAGAAGAGGCAATGTCCCGCTTTCTCAGCCTGGAAGGCGTACTGGGGCCACAGAGGACTCCCCCGAATAACTGGGGGACATTCAGCAGGACAGCTTGAGCCTCCGAACCTTCAACTCTGTCCTAGAGGTCGAGGGAGAAGGGAAGCGCTCCCAGGGCTTGGCCAGAAATCCAGCCCTGGACCAAGGTCAGGAGCCCAGAAGTCCAAATGCGTTTCCTCAAACCCTTGGACACGCTCTTCTGGGTCTGGCAAATGGGCATCCCAAGGCGCAGAGCCGGGCGTCCCTTACCAGCGGCGCAGGAGCAGTTGGGGTCCATGTCGAGCCCTGGCGAGCGGCAGTTCCAGGCGAGAGCGAAGAGACAGCGGGGCACGTGGGAGGCTGCTCGGTATTTTTTTTTTTTGAGTTAACTGATATTTTTTAGGGAGGCTAAAGGTGCTTCTAGAGCAGAAGTTGTGTAGTTTATGGCATCTGCTAGAGTCAGAGACAAGGATTGGACCACCTTTTCACCATTGTGGGAACTGCAGCTCACAGAGCACACATGTAGAGAGTCAGATATCTTTCCTGGGACTTACCCAAATTAGCTTGTGCTCGCCTCTTCAGGAAAACATGATTGACAGGAGAGGTGGGAGTTTTAAGTATCTGAAAGTCTCTAACAGTTACCTCAAATACTTATCCAGTATACTGGATAAGTTAGTGTTTGGCAGGAAGATGTAAGTCTGATGTCCACATAAGAAATGGTATCCTAATGGGGCACAGACTCTATTGGGAGGGTATCATCTCATGTGAGCTAATTCTACATCCATTGCATGGGCAGATTCCTTGAGTGGAGCTCAACAGCTCCTAAAAATCAGGCTAGATTGTCTCTGAAGAGAAAAAACTATTGTAAATCAGGCCTAACCCCAATATTAGCTCCTATTCCTGGTAGGCGAGGATTTTTAATAGGGTTGTAGTTACTTCAGCAGAAGCATCCTATTGGTCCTCAGGTGAAGGAACACTTTTTATGAGACTGAAGTTTGGGGTTAATGATGTGAGGGAAACTTAAGAACCAGAAAAGGCCTACAAAAGGAAATGTACCTTCTAAAGTGTTTCAGGAAGAATGATTCATTATTTTTGTCAGTGAACAGTTAAATTCAGAGCAGTAGGGATGGTCTAAGAAAAACTCATCAGAGTGCTTTGTTTTTTCTTAAGTGAAAGAAGACCATAAGGGGTCATAAGTCACAGGATGAAAAGAAGGGAGAACATACTGAGAAGTCTTTTAGTCTGTTACTGGAGAATGTAAAGTACAAAAGGCAAGATGAGCGGGAGAGTAAAAGGAAAGAAAACGGTTGCTGAAGAATCAGAAAATTAACCTTGGGCTGAAGCCGTCAACTTTTGCAGCTAGCAGTTTCTGGAGGGTTCCTAAGAATTCTTAGTTTAAACGAATGAGCATTCAGTAGTCTGGATAAAAGTGATGTGTATCTTTTGAGCTGGGAAACAGGAATTTAAGTATCAATACCTTGGAATTTTTTTTTCTTTCCTGTGTTAGTTGCTAACGGTTCCTGATTAAGGTCTTTTCCACTGAGGCTCAAGGGTAGTTTTTCTCTGATGTTTTTTCAGAAAACCAAACCTTCAGGGTTGAGATCCTGCAGAGGCTGTGTAGGTGGGTGTTTTAAAATGCAGCTTGTACCTGTTGGTGACAAAACTGTAGGTATTGTATAAGTCCCCCGCAGTAATTAGTCATATCGGCTAGTAATAGGGTGGAGTTTAGGATTGGAGATAATTTGCAAATGCATGGGAAAAAGCTGTTGTTATCGCAGAAGGAGAGAGCTTGTGGATCCTAGAAGGGACAGATCTTATTGCTATCAAAGATAGTGGCAATACTTTAGGTTATGGATGTTCAAGGGGTTTCTGAGAGCTTTTAGAATTGTGGTCTTAGAATTCCATTAGCTTTCTGTACTCTTCCCAAATTG